AACATAATATCAAGTAATAACCGAAAACCTTTCATATTAAATTTGTAAAAAAAAAATTGTATAAAAATAAAAACTTAGTCCAATTACTCTTTATGTTTTACGTTCAGAGGAAATATTAATAAATATTCAACAATATGCAGGAAAACTGAAGCACTTATTGCATATTGTATATCTTTCAACAGAGAAAATAAGGAATGAACTTAAAATAATACTAGAGAACAAAATCTTGCAGTTACGGACTTCAAACTTTTGCTCATAAATTTCCGATACGGCATAGTTTATTTCAAATAAAAAGAATTCTTAATACACTGTGCATTAATAATTTACAGCATGCACTTATAACTATGTCAGATAGAGGAAAAAGTTATACCAATTAACGGTTTTCGATCATTGGTTAGAGAACAAAAACAAGTTACCACAGTGTTGCCCGGAAGACACGTGAAAGAAACTCGTTGCGAGTGATCGACATAACTACAGCGAACACAACTCGAAGGATTTATGTCTCACATAAAACGTGCAACCTCCTTGCGGCTGTGCCACGTAAAATTGTACAACCCTGCGCAACCTCTCGGGAATTTCTGCACACACGTAACAAAAGATTGAATTATTCTTATGGTAAGTGATTTCCACAAAAAAATGAAAGACAGGTTACACCATTGTTTTTGTATATTATAACGAGGCGAACGAGTAAAGGGACCCTTAATATTAGTAGAACACCAAAGGAATTAAAAAGATACATTGCCGGTCTTTGAAAAGGTACAAAACCATAAAAGATTATGAAGAAAATATTTATAAGAAAACTTCTTTTAAGTTTTATTTTTACACGTAAGGTATATGTCATTATTTCTTGCCTGTATTAAGTTTATTTATATTTCATAATTAAAAACTTTTAACTAGCTATTCTTACATTCACTACAAACTTGACCTATATTTTTATTACATGGACGTGTAATGACTTACAATACGACACTCACGAGAAAACTTTTAAATTGGATTATGCACGAGGAGTACCTACGTTTCGTCATTTCGTTGTTTTGTTTCCTGTTTCCAAAAGAATAATAAATAAAACATTTTTCATTAACATTACAAGTGGTGTTTTTTGAAAGAAGAAATTTCAGTTATTACAAGAACAAAATTTAAAAAACATATCAAACTTTAGATAATTGTTGGTATTTGGTACCTTTGGGTTTAGAGCTATTATTACGTTTATAAAATACTATCGGTATTTTATAAATATACTATTTGCAATTAAACTTTTTGTTGTTTTTTATCAAGCATTTATTTAATCCTGTTTGTCACAATGGTCTTTAATACCCAATACTTTGCGATAAGACGATTGTCTATTTAAAATTATTCAAAGATTAACGCGGATTGTCAGGCATGAATTATCTTGCCAGATATTATATTTGTATCCTTGCTCTTCAGGCGCAGATACCTGAGTCAACAAGTGCTGTATTTGTAAGGTTTGGTACAAAAAAACATTAAATTATTTTTCCTTTTTTGATATTGTCATTAGACCTAAAGATAAGTACCAAATTTCAGATAGGTTTATATAAAGTGGGTGGTAATTTAAATAAATAGATTTAACCCAAATAAACAGAAAAACTTAATTAACGTTTAACTAGTCGTTAACTAACTTTTGATGGTCGTCCTAAAGACTTAAAATTTAATCCTTGACCATTGTCCATAACCTAGAACAAAGTGAAGGGAAAGTGAGTAATCCCAAAAGGCTATAAAAGTTACAATTTTATTGGCCGCAATGTTGCTTTACTGGATGCGGAACATTTTGAGACGGCAGCGACTTTATATACGTTGTCTTTGTCCCTTGTTACGATTGCCTTTAAAATGTTAGATTTTATAGGTTCTTATATCAAAACACAAGTAAATTAAACGTTTATTTTTATGTTAATTTCTATAATTAAATTTTATATATACTACCAAAATTTTATAGAACTTCTTTAACTAATCGAAAGCATTTCTATCTGCCAATATACTTACCTTATCTTTTATTTGTATTTACATTAACTTCTTAATTATTAGGGAAATTAATATGTGCTTATTTTATTGATAAAAAGAAACCTTATAGCCAAATACACATAAACCGTACTACATTCATCCATCAAGCTGAGTGTGACAGCGTAGTAGTAAGTCCCTTTATCAGTCATTCCGTGACGTATTGCCAAGCTCTGACTGGACTTACGTATGGTATAACTAACGTGACCAGACGGCCCGTTTTGAACGGGACTGTCCCTTTTATTGTTACGAGTCTCGGAGTCCCCGGAAAAAATATGGGACGCCAAATGGTCCCGTTTTTTTTTAAACTACGAAAAAATTTGAAAATTCATGTCGGCCGACGCGATTGGTGTGCAGGACCGAGACCGCATCTTTGGTGAAAACACCTGAGAAAATCCAGTACTAAAAGCTTTGTTGGTAAGAACATAAAAAAGTTCTATTTTTCATAAATAAACCAATGTCCCGTTTTGAGTCAAAAAATAAATGGTCACATTAGGTATAACTGAGAATCCACTATCGAAACATTTTTTTATAATCTCATTTACTATAATAAAAAAAGAGCTTAGCAATATGTTTAATCTTCTTCTTCTTGAGGTGCCTCTCCGACTAGCGAAGGTTGGCGATCAGTTCTCCATGTTCAATATGTTTAATGCTTAAGTTAAATCAGTTGAAACCCATAGTTACTCTTACGGTGTTTATAATAAATGGCATAGCAAGTTGGAAGTCCATAGCAGATAGACCGACGTAGAAAAAGTTTATGGACCAAGCCAAGGTCCACAAAGGGCTGTATAAGAGATGAAGAGTTTATAATAGAATATTCGCGTATTAGCTTACATAACTATGAAATATTGTAATGATGCGTCAATTATAATTTAATTTTGAGAAAGTTAACCCAAGTTTCGTAGTTAAGAACTTTCATCGAGCATTCATAGAGGTTGATACAGGTTAGACTTTCATAACTTTACGCTAACTTTTGTTACTAATTCCCCAGATTAATTGAGATAAATTGAAAATTGAGCTTTTGAAGAAAACACGACGTGATTTTTTTTAATACATTAAACAACTATTAGAGAAGAATAAATGTTTTAATCTAGTACTGAAAATATCATAACTTTATGGTCATAACATACATTTTTTTATAGAAATGGGAAATCGCCATTACATTTTTAATAAATATTTAATTAATAAAACATGCAAATAATTGACTAATTATCTTTTGCTACAAGCGCTACTATTCTAGAACTAACATTATGCAAACTTTAGAAGTAACTTCAACTCGCTTTTAAGCCAGTGCATTGAGTAATTTAACGGAAGTTTCAATATTAAGTTAAACCTCTAAGGCATATTACACTATAATAGTAAATAAAATTAACTGAACATTTTAAGTATGTGTTAAATAAAACAATACTATATTTAACATATAATCCATATTAATATTATATTATAAAATAACATACAATATAAAGAAAACTGCAGTCTCACGGCCACTTCCGTTGCAAAACTTTGCGAGATCTCTTAGTAAACCTAGACATTTAATTAGTACCTATTATAATTCTTAACATCGACTATTATAATTTTTATACCTTTTTTATGTGTATTTGTCCAACACCAGTCATTAAAATTTTCCTTTAAAACTGTATTCATAATGCCATATTATTCGAATCGTCATAGATAAGCTTCTCCATTCGTCCCAGTGGAAAAGCAAGCGTTCGATAAATCAGAGATTTGCGGCGACCGTTTTGCTTAACGTCGCAAAGACATGCTATTTGTGTAATTGAGATAGATAACAACTTCTAAATCTCGTATATTAACTGTACTTAAATTTTTGTACAATATAAAAAAAAACAAGTTGCCAATTCACATCAAAATATACGCTAGTATTAACTTCTATAAGAAGGCGGCTTCCATGTGTTAACATAACATTACAACGTATAAAAACATAAAAAAAACATGTTTTGACACTAATACTAAATACGGAAAATACAAAATTTATAGTTTCAATTTTACGATTAGTTTGTTAGTTTTTCGCCTTCAGTTAATTGTAGACTCTTTCTAATATTGACGATCCAATGACTTTTTTGATTTGATAAACATTTTCTATAAATATAATTTCTACCCTAATGCTAACGAAGTAAATTTAAATAACCGTGCACAACAAACGGCATAATTAAGTATGATATAAGACTCAGATAATCTCTAAGGGCAGCACTGTAGCCCTGGAAACCTTACCATGCTTATAAATATAAATGTTTGTGCGGAAAGACGCTTAAGATTTACGTCCATTCACGGATTATTTACGATGATTAAACGGATTTGTTTTGTCTTGGTGGTGGATGATAAGACTCAACGCTATGTAAGATAATACAAAGCAAACTAAAAATCGTTGTGGGCCGTGTGTGCAGTGCTTTCGGCACGGGCCTATGAACGCCTACTTTTATTCCGCGCCCGATTATTGTCCTTTGAACATATGAATTACTTGCCCTATTTTAATTTGCAAACACCTTATCTGTTGCATGAAATTAAAGCTTTATTTTGTGTCATAAAAAAACAAAATCATTAAGATTTTAGTCCCATCAATTTCAATGATAAGGTACAAATTTTTGATAAGACACCACCAAACTAATTTATCAATTTAGAAACAATAAAAAGATTGATACATTGCCTACCTTGTAACAACATAGGAAGGATGTTTTCTTTTCCCCTCATTTTCAACTACCAAAACCATGGGATGAGATGGGAAGAGGAAAGGAGTCGGGCTGTAAAACATATTCATCATATGAAGTGAAAAATATTTCTTTTTCACAATTATGTTTTAAATGATATGGCAATTTATATATTATTTAAACCGTTTTTGTCATTTGTGTTCTTTCTTTATACTAAGGAACTAACAAGGCATAAATAATACAATAATTAAAATCTGTATGTTTATTTTGTTGCATTATTATAATAAATATAATATAGATTCTTATTCTATACATGTATTAAAATAACATCAATGGATACTGGTCACTCTTAATTTTTTTTTTCTTTTTCAGTTTGAGCACATTGTGCGGCCAATGTAAACCATACTATAGCTCTAATATCTCTATTTTATAACAAGATTTATTAAATATATTGCCAATCCAAAATGATTAAAAATTTGAACTTTGGTGTTAAATTAAGATGTAATGATAGTAATAAAACATCTAAAAATGACCACCAAATCACTTAAGCACATATTATAACCTAGTTATATTGAAATTATCTAGAAATTACGGAGAATATTGCTCATAATTTAGTTTATTCTTTATGACATCATATGCACTATTATATTTCTTATATCTACTAGAATATAACTTCAGATAATTATAATATAGTATACAAAAGTACATACCAGCAAGACATGATCCTTGATAGCGTTAGGGTATGCTATTTGTTCACTGAGAATGCACAATAACTAACATGTTAAAATATTATTTTGATTTATGACTTTTAGTAGTTATCCTATCCTCCGCAGTTAGTGGTTGCCTAAGTTTCCTGCCGATTTTATCTTCCTTAAGTTGTAAAACAATTTGCTCTGTGTTCCTCAAACTTTTGTTCAATTTTTCAATTCTCTGTTGTCGTTCTTGAATGCCGCTGATGAAATCATCGACTTCTTTCTTCATACTATCCACATCTATGTCGGGAACCGGATGTTTTGACTTAAATCTTGCTTTTGATAAAGATTCCAATTGCAAATTGAGTATTTTGTTTTCCATTATCGAACTTTTTTGTTCATATTCCACGCACATTTTACCAAATCTTTTACGAGATTCAACAACGACATTCATAAGATTTTCGCATTTTTCCTCTAATGTTAGGTCATCTGTATCTAAAAAAGCAAAATTTATTTAATTTTGTGAATGAATGCGTTATTTTACAAGTTTAAGTCATGCGTTGCTTACCCATTTTATATAATTGTGATTTTTTAGCAAAATTTAGGAGTGTAATACTAAACTACGTATACAGAAAATTATTATAAAGACAAAATATAAATATTGCTTTATACCAAAACTTTAACGGAACGGAAAACTTCAAAACTTGCTTGTAAACACAAAACATAAACAACGCGTAACGACAAAGATTATTTTTCTATAATCTATGACAGAACGCAACACAGAATATAAACGAGTGAATTGATCACTGATACATTTTTTTTAAACTTGAGATTAAAAATGTTTTCAGATCTCAATCCCTTCCTTATCCGTTCAAATTTCAGTTTTGAGTTTTTCAATTCCAAGTGCCCGCTTTGAAACAAGCTCAAAACTATTCTAACGAACGGATTTCAATTTAAAGTTGGAAAGCCAAAAATTCTATCAAACGAGTTGCAGAAAAATGTTTCAAGTCGGCGGGCTTATTACTAGCTTATTTTGTATCATAAACGAGAAATGTATTACAATTTAATTTAAATTGAACTCAGTATAACGATTGCGAATATTCGATACGATATGTATGATGTTTTTGTCGATTATATCTCGAAAATAGAAACTATAGTGGAAACCATAACAGGTTTTAATATTTTTAACAGCAGTCAACAATGACGTCTTTTAAGTTGTAATTTAAATTAACAATAATTTTGAAGCCCTTTACTATTATACCAAGTGGAAGCAAGAATACCGAGCGAGAGTTTAGTAACCGTCTGCAACAACAAATGGCAAAAATCGTGACCTAATTCTACTTCGCAGACTTCACACTTGAAGTGCTCGTTTAAAAACAATTTAACAATGTCTACTGTGTATATAAGATATTTTACTGTTATCATAATTAAAAAAAGAAACACGTATTTACTCTTAATTACTTGCACATAACTTTTTGAACTTAACTTCTATACGGACACTTAATTAAAAAAAACATACCGTTAATTTCATGGAATTAGTTTTGTCATTTGGCATGAAGTAGTTTGAAGTGAAAATCAACTCGAAGAATAAATAAAAAATTAGCTGGGACTTTGCTCCCATAAATAAAACTCATATTTGATAATTCAACGAATCATTAATCTATGACTTATTTTACAATTTCATGTATAGAGAGAAAAAAAATTAATTTTAAATAGGAAATGTTTGTACAGCCACGAAGTAGATAATATAATACACAGCTTTGTCGAAACTTATTATATTTTAAAGTATAAACTAAACGGAAACATAAAATATAAACGAGGGTAAAAAATAAGACGAACAAATCAAGTATAAATTACACTTTTTCTTAAAAAGTCGACTAATTTATGATTTCCCTAAGCTCAATAGGAAGTGGCAAACAAATATTGGTCCGTGCATTATAAATAAGGTTCGCGAAAGGGTCGGGTTACGTACAGATGTTTGCAGCCGGCGGTCGTCCTTTCACTATCTTGCTCTGCCTCTAAACTCCACTGAGAATCGATAACTTATAGATACTCACATATATAGTCTGGTAGTACAATACCAGCACCTAAAAATACATTTCCATTAAGTGAATGTATTAGTTCCTAATTCGGATGATCCTATACATGTACAAAAATTGAAAAAAGAACCATAGAGGATCATGAGGATGATCTAAAGAAGAAATACTTTTTAAAGAAAAATCGTGGCTTAACAAAACACAAGTCAAATAAGTTATCCGTATAAAACATACCAATAAGTGGGCCACAATTTCATATGTAAAGTTTGGCTCATTTCATTTTATTACTGTATTCAGTTTAAGCTTTATAATTGAATACTTTAACGTACAGCTTCCAAGTCTTGTTAAACTACTCGCAGACCAAGTTCAGTCGAGGGAAATTGAAGAGTTCTGTGAACTTTGCTACACTAAGAGCTTCAAATAGCCATTACTTGCGTTATGTGGCAATATGGAAATATTTATTAGAGATAAGAGATGATACATTCATAACAGCCAACTACAGTGGAATGATAATCTATCCTGTTCTGTTCCAAGTAATCATTATCAAAATTACTATAGTAAACTGAAATAAAACTAAGTTTTTTATACACCCAGGCTAAAGGAAAAAGTCGGTAAGTCTTGTTTATCTTATCTGAATTTAAATTTTAAAACACGCGACTCGTATCTCGTTCATGCAGTGCAACATGAATTGTAAATTTTAAACTACCAACATCTGCTTTAAGCTACTTCAAAGGATCATTTACTTATTTTTTTTACAAATTAATTTACTAAAATTTATTCCTTGTTGCTATTTTAATGCCAAAATAGACGGTTGCGAGACAAAATATATATACCTTTGTTTAAATAAATACAATGCAAAATCTCTGCTTACTCTACGAGTTTTTACACTAATGTAATCGTTATGTTAAATATAAAGAAATACATAATTTAAAAAAAATCCCTTATATAATCTGGAACGTATAATTATATTAGTACCAAATGCTAATTAAATAATTTTATAATAGTAGCCTGTCGTAGTTATTATTGTAACGAGAACGGCTGTGTGACACGAAATTAACTCATTGTGAGTCGCAACCGGCATCATAACGTTTTATTATTTTCTTTATAAGCCTCTTAAACTTTGAATTGTAGCTAAAATCATGTAACAAAGATAAGGAAACGTTTAATTTTGATGTTTTTACATTAGCAATATCAGTAATGACCTGTAAAATTTACTGTTTCGAAAGTTATGTAAGTACTTTAATTAGTGGTTTTAGCTAAAAATAATTTGAAACAGTTCCTCGTTAGATTAGATTCAAGATATTGAATTATGATATGTTAAGACGCAGTCGTTGATACCTGAATAATAAAGACCAATAATATTATACTTCAAATTATGGAAAACTATATCGTAAAGATAACAAAGCTGTACGAGAAATTAACGAATGAAAACGTAAATCTCCCATCTTAAGTTTAAATGTGCAAAGGATTGTAATAATAAATAATGCAAATGAAGCGCACTGAAAGCGTTAATAGTACACAAACAACATAACCAAAGACAGATATTGTTTTATGCAGATGAAATATAACACGAATGTGTAGATATCTTTGCTCAGGTACAGCAGTGATGCGGGGATGTGGGGCGGCAAAGCGGAACGCTTTGTACGTGGCCGGATAGGGGATTGTAAATTATGTACGACCTTCGCTCTGTTTGGATTCTATACCAGCGATCAAATAAAGAAGCTTCTATGTTTTAATTCATAAATTCGACAAAGTGTAGACTAATATATTCCTAGGGGTTCATAGGAGTAACCATTGGCTTACTAAAGTGGATGCATAGCGAGAAAAATGATTATTCAAGATAAAATAAAAACTTTTTTTGGTTTTAGTTTTAATACAGATGCAAATTTAAATTGCGTATATAAGCTTGTAAAACTTTAAATCAATGAATTAATAACATTTTATAATACTTTAGTCCAAGTATAATATAAATTTTTAATTGTACCGCAGTTTTCCACTGATGAAACAACTGTACGAGTATATATTGTTGCCTCTGGATTCTCCAAAGAAAAGTGAGAGATAACAATATTTGCTAGAATATAACAAAAAAAATTACATTTATAACAATGCAATGGGACCTTTGCTGTTCCAACGTGCATTTCTCATGAATTTAAAATTGTAACCCAATGCACACAGACAGGTGCATATTTTATAACTTTCAATCCAACTTTATCAATAAAGAATTAGATATAAACTCCGTAGTAACCATATAGACACTGCAATATAAAGAACAAAGAAATGAAAGAACTTAAAAAAAAAACTCTGCAATAAATTGTGACGTCACAGAAAACAAATTTCAGTGGCGTTACACATGTAAAAAACATATATTACTTTTGTATTAAATACCTACTTAATTTTTTTTAATATTGTAACATTGAACAAAAAATTGTGAATTGCGCAGCGCTTCGCACGATGTTGATGACGAAAATGTGTTCAAAAAATCTCGATTTTATTTATGCGATATATAGATCTTTTGAATAATAACCAAACAATATATTTCTAATCAACCAATATGCGCGTAATGCACACAACACAATATACATATCTAAAACAAAGCTTTGTTAAAGCGAACATGATACCGCTGAAATTATTTCCCATAGTAATTTTCTTTATGTTGTTTACCAACTGGCACATAGAAAATTACGCCACGAGTCGAGAAGTTACAGGCTTGCACCGACTTAAACAATAAACAACGAAATAAATCAATGCAACAGTACAAATGTTTAATGTATTTTATGTTCTATTATAATTCTGTCAAATGTGCGTGTTAATGCAAGCTAAAAAAAGCTCAATGCTTGGTTAATCAATCCTGTTGCTGCTGCTGGTGTTGCTACTGTGCTACCAGTATGTCATGGTTATATTGATATTAAGTATCGAAATTAAAAAAAGATATTACTAGAAAGATATTAAAGGGTTACCTACTCTAAACCTTAGAATATATTTAATCTCATAGTCAGATAAACACTGTCGCTGGTCATTCAACCACATCATCATCAAATCAAGGTCGTTTACAGCTATTGATGATCTTCCATCATTAATCATCTTCGTTGCGTTTAATATTGTGACGCTGGTTCCAGGTCGTGGTCACACAGAGGTCCGCGTGGAGCTGCAGATGGAACGGTGGGCGACAAGGGGCGGCGCGGTTCGCTTGCGGTGCGTGCATGACGTGCCGCCGCACCTCCTTGACAAAGTCGTCTTCCTCAGGCACGGCACCAAAATATTCCAGTACATTAAAGACAGGAAACCGCCGTATAGGAATTTCACAACCCCAGGAGCTGTACTGAATGTAAGTGCATGTACTGATAACAATTATTTTATTGCTATATATTTTTTTTAATTATTACTTAAACTGTAAGGGCTCCACAGATTACGTTGTCAGGCTTCTTCACTAAAAAATAGTATTTTCATTTTAGTCAGTCTTCTTCTTGAAGTGTCTCTGCAAATTATCAAAGGTCAGGTCAAACAGAAGTCAGTTTAGTATACTTTTCTATTTTGAGCGAACTGGAATAGTTGGTGGGCACTCGCAATTTCAGTTAGTTGGCCAACAATCACAACAAAAGGAAAAGATATTTAGTAAGTCAGTTCCATAAATTAACTAAATTAATAAAATCGTGATCATTAAGACGCTATATTGTGTAAACACAGAATACAGGGGTAAATATACCCCTTTGTGCGTGTCAACAAAAACACGTCGTAATCGTCGCTCAGCTTAAGAGTAGAGGAAATTTCGCAAATTCACTTGATATACAAACACCTTAAAAGGCAACAAACACGGATGCCAGCCGTGTAATAGCCGAGCCGAGTTAATTTTCCGGGTCGAAGTTACGTGTAGGATAACCAAGCTATTTACAACGGAAAATGCGCTGTAAAAGCTTTACTAAATATTTAATTTCAAAACAACTTTACTCATGATAGTTCAGTGGATATGCATCGTTTTGAACTTACATTTTTTTAGGAAAACATCATATGTTTTACTAAACATGATTTTACAATATTCAGCTAGATGGATGTGTTAGAATTATTGTAGCCTTTTCCAATTTAAATATTACCTAATTTGCTTACATTTGGAACTGTACTCATAACATACTGCCCGCTATGAACTTGCAGCTATCCTTTGGTAGGAGTGAATCAGAGAACAAAAATTTTAAGTGATTGTTGATTTGAAGTCTTGTAATCTGACTATTTGGGACTTACCATCCAAAGATTATCAAATATTTCTCTTTCAAACGTTAGTAAATGGTTGAAATATCGGTGTCATTTATGAATGTTTAGGCGCCTGGCAAAACAGAAATGCAAAGTTGCAGTAAAATTAATTCGCTAGTACGTTCCGTTGCATGCACATAGCTCATTTAACTGCAGGAGGGCGTAACAGGTCGACCCCAGAGCCGGGTCACAGAGTAGTAGTAGTAGGTAGGAACAATTCGCTACGTGCCAATTTATATTATTGTTACCTACAAACACAATTAGACCGTATTGCGTGGCCAGTCTCTATGAAACAGTAATGTATACGCGTGTTATTAAAAATTCCATTTCTCGTTAGGCTAGGTTGTACTTTTATTTTTTTATGGATAACTCTATTTGCCTATTTTTCTATAGTAAAATATTATTTATGTATAGAATTTTTTTCTTCCTTTACATCATAAACAATTTTTTGAAGTCACGTATTAGTTACCGGAAGGTATAGTAATATATTATATATTTTTATACTAATATAAAGTTAGAAGGTAGGTGGTAATTTTATTTATATGTAAAATGTAATATCAAGCCATCATTTCATCTACATTTATACTCCTTATAAAATTTAAATTCACAACGAATTGTTCTTAAAGTGCTGGAATTCTGAGTCACGTATTGAAGATAACACTCACGTATATAAGCTTTCAGCTTCCATAATAACCTCGCGGCTTCAGAATGAGCTAAAGTCATACATTACTCATTTTGAACCCCTAATTTCTTCATTTTAGGTTTTCTCATCCATCTTTGAATTTTAAATTTTATTAAATTCGTTACGTCATTTAAAGCACCAGACATTTTAAGAGTACCTTAGATAAATCTCTTAATCTGGCTAATTAAAAGAATAAGAGTGTCTGTATGTAATATCATAAAAATGTCATATTTTATACCCATGATGTTTTTCCTACTACTTATAAGGAAAAACCAATCTTTGTCTGTCACTCTGCTGTGTGTCCTCAAGTTCGCGTTTGTTCCGGGTAAACTGAAAACAATTGCATTGATTGTGAGAGAACTTTTGCTGGAAGGTATTTAATGTCTGTTAAAATAACGTCTTTTTTTTAAATTCCGTGGCGAAGACGCGACCAACCAATATAGTTATAAGTCAAAGCGAAATTTTATTCTCATATGTTGACAACAGAATACATTTTATCCTATTTTTTCTTGCAGATAGCATTGGCGACGGATAACTCAATAATCCTACAGAACTTAGACTTTGCGGCTAGCGGCAGTTATTCCTGTGAAGTGTCAATGGATACGCCCATTTATACCAAAGAGTCCACTGCTAAGCAACTTACAGTATTCCGTAAGTATTACCTATACTAGGAATATGTTTAAAAATGAAGTTATTTACGTTATTTATTAGAAAAGAATTTGCACATTGTAGCAAACTTGTGTCTTACTTAAACAATGAAACGTAAACACTTCGTTTCATTTAAAAAGATGCGACGCGACAGCTTTATGCAAAATGCCAACAACAATTAGCTTGTTGGATATCGAGTTGATTGTCGACTGACTCATTAGTGTTCGTATGATATTGGACAAATAATGTGACGTCATTTATTTTTCTACAAACAACGCAAACATTTACAATTTATAACTATTAATACAGATAACAATAATCTTGTAAAATAGGTTAGATTCTATCAGGAACTTTAGAATTAAATCAATCGAAGAGGCTTAATTCTGATGATTGTTTTCATATTTTTGACAGCGATTTAAAATGTAAAGTTTTAATTCGTACATTTTATTAAAACAAGATAATAGTTAAATAAACTTATATAAATTGGCTAAACACGTAAACGTATATTCGTCCGGTACCGCCACCAGACGAATATAGTGAGTGTTTAGTTTATATAAGTTTATTATAATGTATCACGAAAGTTTAAATAATTAGTTAAAGACAACTTATTATCTTTATTGTGTCGATTTTACAAAACAATGAAGTTACACCTGCGCGTTGAGATTAGTTTACATTACATGCTGAAATTAAATAAACCGACATACAGCACTAGATTATGAGAAATACCCCTTTTTCAACCAACTGTTAACCATCATTTGTCTGCTAGATTTTATACGTCCAAAGATTAAAACCCAAGTTTTCATATCAAATCTATTTGTACCCTTCAGCGATTAAAAATATTTATTTTTGATCCTTTTATCCCTCTTCATACGATAATAGTTACGTCATTATTGGTTACGCTTAGCAAAATACGTATAACCTGACTTTAACCTCGCAATTTTATAATTCGAATCTCAACAGAAAACAATAATACATACATAAAATAGCAACTAATTAACGAATAAGGTTAACTACAACATGTAATACTACTTGATTAAGGAATGTATATTGCGTAAATTATGAACATGAAACATATTCAGAGTGTCAGAATTAATTAAACTAAAAACTTTTTTTTGATTAACGACTAAACTGTTCGTTAACTGGTTATAAATAACATACACTCTCATCTATGAATATACGAATATTTTAACGAAATATGAACATCCCCCAACTTTCAAAACACAATCATTAGCATATGATTTCAATGCACGAAGCGAGCCCGTCGTGATATGAATCTCAAATAACTTTAAATATTTCAAACATTTATTTATTGCATTTTCGACTTTCCTCCATTCAGATACGATTCTAATTTGGTTAATATTTTTAATATACCCTTAACTGACATCAGCTGAGACCTACGGAATGAAAGCTTTTTGGATTTAGATTTTTTTTTCATGATTTATAAACTAACGCAACATATTTAGTAAACACGGTCTCAGACATTTTTATCAGAGGACAAATAATAAATGAAGACTTAATTCATTATAGATTAATAAAAATGTTTATTTATCTGTTTTCTATAAATACTTGTTTATTATAAATGTTTACATTTTACTAATATTATAAATGCGAATGTTTAGATGAATGTTTGTTAAAAGCTATTTTCTGAACGGATGCATGGATCTTGCTAAAATTTGGCATAAATGTAGAACATAGTCTGGAAGAACAGATAGGCTACTTTTTTTTTAACAAGCGTGGATGGAGTCGCTGACGACAGCTGGTTTAGTATAAATAAACACATAGAGTTATCTAAAAGCCGTATCTGTTAAACAAAACGGTAAAGTTGAATTAAATTGTCCGTCTGTGAGCAGCTTACACGCTCGAAAGAGTTTTAAAGAGCGTGAGACGATATCGTAAGAGTGCACCGGTTTAAATGCAATTTCACATCGTTTACTGGTAAATTTGAAAACACATGCTCACGTAAATGGAAAGAAAATTGAAAGCATTTTTTTATATTATAAGGTGGCAAACGAGCGAGCAGCCAACTGGAATCGCTGAAATAGCGAAGTGACCATTACCCATGGACATACGCAACTGCATATGCGTTGCCTACCTTTAATCGATAGAAGAGAGGATGCACAGAAAGAAAGTATTTTCTCTTTCCATGCATCCTCTCATCCGGAAAGTCCACTTCCACTTCCCATCCTTTTCTTATAAGAAAAAGGGTGGGAAGGGTAAGAGGACTAAATTAGGCCTCCGGGACGCATCAGACGAAACGCGGAATTGCTTCCACTTGACGCCTGTATTCTGTGTGGTCGTGATATTTCACCGGGCGAGCCGGGACAATTCGTGCGAAGATGTTAAAGCGGGCTCTACCACTGTTATTTTAACTTACACTTTTCAACTTACCTGTATTAGTTATTATAAATGCGAATGTTTAGATGGATGGTTAGATGGGTGTTTGTTTGAAGATATCTCCAGAACGACTGAACGGATCCGGCTGAAATAGACGTAGAACATAATCTGAAAGAACAAATAGGCTACTATGTGTTTTTTTAATTCTGCGCGGACGGAGTCGCGGGCGACAGCTAGTCGTAAATAAAATTTGTGCAAATGTACACCAAAGACTCCGAATCAACTCGAACCGGAATTTTTATTAAACAATTGAGTGTTTTAGTCAACTTATGGTCTTTTAGTTAAAAAAAAAAAACTGTGGTCCTGTAATCTGTTATTAGTAAAAAGTTTTGTTGTTATTAGTAATCGGTTACTTATAGTTGATTGTCCGATAATTGATAAAAAAAAAGATATAAGGAAACAAATGTAATTATTTGTCTACGCAATTCTGAAAAATCCAAAAAAGATAATGTTATTATAAAGTTTGTCAATCTGCAAGATAAATCGGGATAATTATTACGAACCTGTAATTACAACATTTTTCTTAAGCCGGGCCATAAATAATACTTTGATAAGTACAGTCAAGCAATAAATTTACTTTATTTTTAACAACAAATTTCTGTCTCAGTTTAATATACATATTATTTATTTATTTTTATAGCAAAAGGTGGCAAACAAGTTAGTGACCACTTGAATTCGCCAAAATAGCGAAGCGACCGTTGCACTAAGCCATCTGCATTTGATCCGTTGCCTATTTTTAATCGATAGAGAAGTGGCGGTTTAGCTTTTAAAATATATCAACTTTAGCAAGTAATCCATTTTTTTTTATTTGTGTAGTTAGCAATTATATTTAAGAAACTAAATAACTACGGCCAACTCTTTATAGATTTCAAAAATTGTATTATTTTATAAGCTGGAATCTTTTAAAATCTTCTAAATAAGTGTAGTATGTAGTAGTAAATTATAATACAATGTAGAAAACATAAATATTTATTGTAAAGGTTTTGTTCTTCATATGTACTTAAAAGTAATCCCTTTTAATTAAGGGTAATAAAATAATTTATCAAATAAATCCACGAGCCCGGTGTCACGATTACAGATAAAACTAATTAAAGTATAATATATAAAACGAAACTTAAATCATAACATCACAATATACATTCAAAATGAAATCAATTCTGTTGTTGGCGTGTCTCTTAGTTAATGTGGCGTGGTCGCTAGCGACATGGCAAGAAAACGTTTCTAAATGGAGTCTAGAATCTGGAATGGAGGATGCGCGCAGAATAAAACATTTCGAACATTTAATTGGTCCATTGTCGCGCATCGTCGGAGGAGCTATCGCGCCAGTAAGATCTCACCCTTACTTAGCAGGTCTGCTGGTAGACGTCATAGGTCTTCCTTCTCCGGCTGCCTGCGGAGGATCTCTTCTCTCATCTACAAGAGTCCTGACTGCCGCTCATTGCTGGAACGACGGCCGGTTCACCGCTTGGCGTTTCACCGTTGTCCTCGGTTCTCCATTCCTGTTCCACGGTGGAGTCAGAATCCCGACCTTTACGATCGCTGTCCATCCACAATATAATCCAAGAACTCTCAACAATGATATTGCTATATTATATCTACCAATGCGCGTCAGTTTCTCGGACGCGATTAGACCGATAACATTGCCACATGGGCCTTTGCTTAACATGGATTTCACAGGACGTTGGCTCAAAACTGCAGGATACGGAAGATACTCTGATCTGAGCACTCCCACCACTAACACTATGGTGAGGAATATCTTCCTTCAAGCGATATCGACGCAACAGTGCAGACGGATATATGGAAATGCCATCTTAGATTCAAATATTTGCACGAATGGCGCCGGCGGAGTAGGAATCTGTCAGGGTGACTCCGGTGGACCTTTGACGTACTCGGTTCAGGGTCAAGATATACTTATCGGTGTTAGTTCCTTTGTGGCACAAGACGGTTGCGAATTAGGATTCCCTTCGGCTTTCGCGAGAGTGACTTCGTACATTGATTGGATACACAGACACATGTAATAATTAAATGTGATAGTAAACAAACAAAATGTGCAAACAAAACGATGCTAAACCGAAAATTAAGGCATGTCGACAACAGAAATGAATATGACTGCAAAACTCCCACCGCATTATGCAATGTAACACGTAAATAAATAATTAAAATCAAACAAAGCAATCCTTTTATTTCCACGAATACAGCACTAAATTTTGTTATTTATTACCGGCAAAAAGCGTTACGTGTATCGTCCTGAATCTCAATGACAGAAAAACATTTCCCAAACAGTTTTGTAGCAGATAGGGAGAGATAAATCACAAGTCAAGGAAACATAAATCCTAGGCTATGGAAACATTTCGCAAGTTCTTACATCTCGAGAAGGAGATAACAAGTGAACGCTAATTAGACTTAGTAATGCAATGTCTAAAATAATAAAATATGTTACATTTAAATAATATTATAATAAATGATTATTTTAAGTATAAGTTGTTTCTTCTGAATATAATATGTATAACAATTAGCATACATAAGTATTTTAAACAACATTTACGTAACCATTACAAATATCCATCTCCTTTCAAACCTCAGTCAAATAAGAATTTTTACACCCTGGTTTCGGAGGTCAAAATATCTGTATAAAACATGTCGCGGTACCTGTCAATATATTTGACGAAACATAGATAACAATATAATATAAACGATTTCGGGCTCAGAAACCCACGGTAAATTAGTTTTTCGAATAAATTTTACATATTTTTGGTTTATCTAAATTAACTATTTTTCATCTTTGTTAGATCCACAAAAGCATCACCCGCGGATCGACTTCCCCACACGATATATCAGCTTCGGTGAGACTCTCCGAGCGAACTGTACCACCGCGCCCGCGCTCCCCGCGCCCCATATTACCTGGTTCATTAACGGTAGAAAGGTAAGAGGTTATTATTATAAGATTCAAACTTTTAAATGAATTGTTTACGAAACAGGATGGAGAAAACAAAACGCGCAATCTGCTGCAGGGCTAGACAAAGTGCATTCGCTTCGAAGCGATGCCATAACGAACTCCAAAATTTTATAGAACTGTCAATAACTTTTGATAAGTCACGTGATTGTCGTGCGTCACTTCTATGCATATTTGAAGTTATGGAATCGCTTCAGAGAAAATGCACTTTGTCTTGCCTCTCTGGTTCGCTTTGACACTGGATCACTTTTAGTTCCAACGATGCGTAAAATCGTGCGGATTTCCAACCACGCAATAAAGTTTGGAAGGAAAAATTAACTAAGATCACATATCTTAATTTGTTCGTTCTATCTAGATGCCACCTTTTGATATAAATATTTCATTATTACAGATGGATGAACTTGTGGTCCATTCCCATAAGTACCGTGTACCATTGAACGAGAGACGCAGAGGATTGCAGAAGCCGTTTGAATACGAAAGTGGCAGCGCACCACCGCCGGTGCTGGCGCTTACACACATCTCCCACGTCGCTACAAAAGCTCCTGGTTGTAATATAAAGGAAAATCAGGTGAGAATACTGTGACGTCATTACACATTTATTAATTTACTCAGGTTTTAATAAACTTTATGAAAGCAAATGTTTTAATTCGATTGAAATATGTCTTTTTTAGATTTCTTTACTTAATTTCCGAACGGTGTTTTATTTATCAATTCAATTTAAATAAAATGTTGCAATCCATGTTATGTGGGTGCAGCCTCATATAATGATAGATAAGTTAAGTGCAATTTAAGGTACAATTTATCTATAAATTGTCATTTTTGCAATAACATATCACACCCATTATTTAATAAATCGAGGTTATAATAATTTACTTAGATTGCCAAAGGAAAAATAATTTCAAAACACGTTGCGACTGTTTACGAAGAAATGTCATATTATTTTAACAAATTATTGCAATAGAAATAAATTTCCCTATCTTTATATCGAGTAATCTAACGTTGGTCGTAACGACTTATATAAAAAATCACGTATAAAAAACAAAATATTTTATTCAACTGTAAATCTTAAATTCATGTGAGCCACCAATACAAGATGTATTCTCTAAAGGGTCGTTTTATTCAAATGCTATCCAAAGACAGAGCGATACGTCTCGCACAAGATTACGAGTACCCAGCGATCCTATCTTTACAATTCCCCAGCCATCTGACCTCAGCAGTACTTCGCTTGCCAGTACGCTCCAAAGAATTTTAAAAATGTAATAAAATTTTAAATAATACAATACATTCGCTTGTACGTGCAAGCATCTATATACCATTGGTTTTATAAGATTTCAATTATAAGAACTGCAGCAATATAGTCGTTTATTGGTTACTAATTGCATATTTATAAGTAACAAGGGAGAGCCTTAGCTACAGCTATCGATTTATAATGAGAAATGTACAATGCAGAACAACTCTATTAAACTCTTACTAATGTTATAAATGCGAATGTTCAGATGGATGGTTTCTGACAAGGTATCTCCGGAGCAGCTGAACAGATCTCACTGAAATTAAGCATAGATATAGAACATATTCTGGTAGAACACATAGGGTACTAATTATGTTTTATTTATTCTGCGCAGACGGAGTCGCGGGCGACCGCTAATTATGATACACATCATCAATTATGTATCACCAAAATAAATAATAAAATAATATATATTTTATTAACTGAGCGTTTTACTTTACAGATTGAATTAGTGAATAATCTCGAAGAAACAAACGCGAATCGGACGAACAGTCGACATAGGGGTCGAAGACCGAGTCGTGGCCGGGATCTTTACGTATCGGTTTCTGAAATACAACTGCTAGCTACGGGGAGACTGGAGGTGACCTGCGTAAGCACCATTCCCGAGTTCAGAAGTATTGATGACAAATTCGCGGACGTTAGAAATGATACAGTTATCGGTGAGTAGAATAATAGACTAAAAGTAATGGTAGACTCGCATAAAAAAGAATAAATGAAAATATTTTTTTTAATACAGTAGAGGTCTAGTTGGCGGGCAAACATTGAATAGCAAATTACCATTATCTGGAATAAAGAGATCTTTTATTCTAATTTACTTCTTCGTTATCATTTTCTTTTCTGAAATTTTCTGACGTACATTCTATTACTTTGTTTGTGTCAAGTTTTAAATATACTTTTTAACTATGTGGCAGAAATTGTGGAAAACCTTAACCTTATGTTTTTTTTTCAGTGGATTTAATAAAACCGTCGACATACTCTCAAGAATCTAATGACACGACAAAAGCAGGATCCAGCATATCAAAAGCCAGTAGTCTGTCTATTTCACACTTAATTTTTACAATACCTTTTTTAAACCTCAAAAGAATTGTTTGACAGCTATTTTATACATATTTTAAATCAAATTAATTATTGGGCTGTGATAAAAATATAAATATCATTTTAATATAATACTGCTGAAGGTTTAATTTCAAATAGCTTGCCAAAAATACCTTGTTATTTGTACTTTATTAATTAGATTGTTTACGCACTTCCTTCTCGTTTTGATATTTGATACTAGCCGTTAATTAATATCATAAGAAATAATTTTATAAAACTTATAACGTTGTGGTTGTTTTGTTAAATTTTGTTTTTAACAGTCTTTGATAATTTTCCTTTTATACTGGATGTTAAGACTACATATACTTTATCTGTAGTTTTTATCGTATGATGTAAAATAAAACGTTCATTTAATATTAAGAAATTAAATCATATGTAATTATTAATATAATTATTAGGTTAAGTTAAATTTAGCGGCTTCTTAAAGTCGTCACAATGTAATATATAATTCTGATCTGAACATTGACAATTAAATTGTAATTAACCAATTATTAAGAGTAATTTTTAACGGAATAATCGGAAAAACCGAAAATTGGTATTTTTTATTTTCGTTCATTTACAATATGACCTTAGGTCAAGGTCATTCGGATATTGTTTCTTATAGTGAGTTCACTTACAATGGTAGAAAAACATTTGTTCGAGTGATTCGGCAGTAAAAACACACTGTTAACTGTCAAAATATTATATTGTGACGACATTAAACATTGTTGTGCCTAGATTTTATCGAAATCGCCAAAACTTAAACATATCAATGTTGCCTGGAACAATTCCTTTAATATAAGATGTAAAAATCAACATATCTATAGTATAAAACGTAATAAAATTAACCAATTGAAGACGTGAAAGATCCCGTGTGATAAACAATGTAAAAACCAATCTGGACTTACCTAACTCTTTGTTAATTGGGATCAAATAATATTAAGGGGATGTAAATGTTTATTATAAGAGGTGTTGTGTATTGTTTCTTCTTTCGTTTTCAATCTTAAGCATATTGTGTTTTGTACATGAAAATTTTACTATCAAACTCATTCAGTGTACTCATATCTAAATTAATTAAAAAAATATTCCTTAACCATAATAAATACAGGAAATATCTCTCATATAAAATTCTCATGTCACAACGTTAGTAACCATAATCCTCCGAAACGGCTTGACCGATTTTTATGAAATTTTATGTATTGCATATTCAATAGATCTGAGAATCGACTACTATTTTTTTTTAATTCCATGCGAACGGAATCGCGGGCGACAGCTAGTAATAAATAAAAAGCCTTTTTTTGTGGGTTGAAATATATCACCAATTATAATTTTAGTCCCTGTAAGCTTAAATGTGAGTTTCTACTTAAATACTTGTATAAAATATGTTGTATTGCTTTTCAAAGTCAATATATGGCAACATGTTTTGGTATGTGTCTTGGCAGTGAAAACTCGCGAATGAAGCGATTACAAGCCATTTATTGTAAGCATGGCAAGTGGCTCCATCTGTAGACCTTATATCTTAAGTACAAAAAAGAAAATCATATTTTAGTCTGTGGCAATTCTGTTTTAACTTTACCTTGGACACGGAGCTCTTTTAGCGAATGTATTATTTTTATTTTATGAGCACAATCTGTTATCGCCAAGCGAATATTTTGCATTATGACAAATTGATTTAATTGTAATAAAATTGCACATAACTGTTATGGCATTTTTTTTATTATTTCTGTTAAGACTACGGTATTTTATACAATAAATTATTAGAAAAATATACTATCTTAAATATACAGGTCCTAATCGAAATAAAACATTTTTTGAAACTACACTTGTATCCTAATTGCTTTAAAAAAATTACTGAATATGTATAGACATACTGTACCAGATAACTCTTTCCAATAATGGTATGAAAATGTTTTCTTAATCTTTACGATCTTATAGTTTTTAAGCCTCTTAGATTTCTGGGTAATAAAATATTTCAATACTTCAAGAAATTGTTTTTTTTTATTCCCTTCCCCAAGACTCTACTCTTGAACCACTGTATACCGAAATTACTTGCTTTTTGTTGTTTAAAACAGAAGGAAAATAGGTTTCTTTACAAATGTTTACACAGAGGAAACTCCTTTAACTTACCAACATCTGAAGGTCGCGGGCGTTGTTCACTAAATATAAGACGACCAAATCTATCAATCGACTAAGTATAGTTCTTTTCAAATATTTTGGCGGTCCAACATCATCGACGCGCTGCAAATATTCCGCTATGCCCAACATCTACAATTGCATACATCTAAAATTGCGTATTGCGCACAAACTAGCACGAAAATAAGACCCGATATGTGAAACGATACCAAGGGAGGGTGGAAAACAAAATACAACGATTACTTTATCACATAACTTTATTGGAATAAAATAAATATAACAGCAGTAGTTATAAGAACTTATAACAATAATACCTCTAATAAAAACTCTATTTTAAGTATGTGGTTTATATCACAACAAATATGTTCATCAAAAACGTGTAATACTATATTAACTTATAGAAAATGGTCGGACATACAATTGAAAATACAAAATGTGCATATCTACATATACTATACTAATAAAACATACATTCGTGTTGTTACTTATTAAAAGTACTAATAATTGATAGATAAAGCTTTATAAGACGGCAATCTAATAGAAAAATACATGGAATAATCCTTAATTTAAAGGTTGTTAGATTTTAAAAAGAAAAATAAACTTTCAACAACCGTAATTTGTAAGAAAATCAGAGATCAAATCTAGCGATTTATTTCTGTTGTTTATTAAAAATTAGTGATTAAAAATAAAATAGGAAGCAGGTACATGTTAAATTTATGCCTCTTCATGCCACATTTAATTTGATTTGATTGTTAAACTCATATTATAAAATATTCACGGCAAATAACAAATTTGTGCGTTTCGCAAATGCACATGTGTGGTCTAAAATATAGTTAAACAAGCGATCTTATTCTAAAGAAAATATAATAAACACCACAGGTGTATTAATATAAACTTCACATACAATTTGTTGGATTTTCATATAAATATTACTATAATAATTATTCAATCAAATCGATAAGAAAGAGTGCAAGGTATCGTGACATTTTTTTTGTCTATGGAAGTCGTCGGACGTCGTCGGACAATGGCTCTCGCTTATTTTCGACTGTATATTATTAAAATCACAGAAACGGAATAAACTCATATTCAATTGTATTAAAACTTAGCTTCACTGAATGTTATTTCGATGTCCTTATCATATTAGGTTAGGTTCTATGTGCAATGTTGATTAATTGTAGTGATTCATTATAGATAAATGCATATCGCAAATGAAACATTACTGCAAAATAACATTAAAAATAAAATCCAGCATCACGGTAATTGGACTATTATTATTATATGATTAACACCTTTTTTGTATTACTATGAATGTCTTAAGAAAATGATAAGGTGAAGTTTGAAATGGCAAAACATGGGCTATATTTCTCGCTTTAGACCAAGTCAATTTTAATAGTCAAGTAGTAGCTTGAAAGGCAGTGGATAAATATAAATATTATTCATATCTGTTTTATAATTTTACTAAATATTTAAATATGGACATTACACTTATGCATGTATTAGTTCGTCGTCAATGCTTTTAAAATAATAACTATTCATATATATTTTAACCCTAAATAACGTTCCATTCTACAAATGTAATCGACATTTAAAAAGTAATGACTCAAAATTCGATGTCTCTTAGCAAATAAAGACAATCTAATTACTAATTTTTACTATCCAACTGTTGTACAATCTGATTAGATACAACTTTAGTCGCTACGGACGCGTTAGGTATAAGAAAACGATCCATATCTTTTATTAATAGGTCATCACCGTTCGGAATTCCATATTTAAACGTTATTAGCTCCGGGTGTCTCTTCTTGGCAGTTATTTTTACAATAGTAGAAAGTGGCCTTCGCGATAATATTTTCGCAAAGCCACGTTTGTTAGGAATTTCACGTAATATTATTAAATGTGTATCAGTGACGATCAAATATGAATCATACATGTAACCGTTAAGTAAAACTTCTTGACATTGAAAGTTATCTATAACATTATGTCCTTTAAGGAATGTTTGCAGTTCGACTATTTCTTCCAAAGAATCCGAGCTCATAATATCTCTTCGTGAATCGGAATGTGAGTCGTCATCTTCGTCATTTATACTAAACACTGGAGGTACATTTCTGTACCTATGATCTTTACGATCATTGGCAGAAACATGCCATTCCCCATTATTGACATTCGCGTTAGGATTAACAATATATTCGATTAATTTTCCTTTCACCTCTTGACTCTTTGCTTTCATTGCAGATGATAATTTACTGAAAAGTTGTATAGCCGGTACATTTTCGCGGACTTTTGCTTTGCGCTGTTCATTATTAACATTGTTATTATTAGGGGCACATACTAGACATGTAGAAATGTTATGTTCTTCCAAACAATCTGTCATATGAGGGCCAAAGTAGTCGTGAATCGCTACAAATCCACCATCGAGCATCGACACATGTTTCGTATTTTTCTTTAGGAATGACGCAACGACCATATGTGCGTAACTATCTTCTTCAGTTCGTCCTGAGCCAACAAAACATAAATGTTCACCTGCAGCAAGTGAGCCAGCCGCTAAAGCATGGCGTTGTGCATTTAGTAAGCCTTGTACAGCTGTGTTAAAAGCATTTGGTTCTTGCAACATCAGATTACAGTCAAGGTGAAAAGCAGTTGATAAGTGACCCGCATTATACTGCTCTGCAGGTCGACAATCCACCAAGAAAAATTTTACACTGTCCACATCCGCAGCATCTACCGTAGCACTCTCAATTAGTTCGTGCACAGCAACAGGAAGACACAGAGCTTGAGAATAAAGTTTTGAATTAATTTCTAATCCACTCTCTGAAAATAATACTTCTAAGACATCTTCACGGAATGATTGTGGGGTCTTCAATGAATAATAATGTGCTAAAGAACAAAAATCTGATACATCATTGGCCTCTAAGTCACCAGGCATGCCAACTAAAGTTTTAATAATTGTGGACTTCTCCTCAGTTTTCATTTGAAGTAACTGCTCTCTTGCATTTACAATCATTATTAGGCAGAGAAAAAAGATAAAAAATGGGTCTGATCGTTGAAAATATAGATCCCACATAAATAAAACCACCTCTAAATTACAGGTACCAGCAAAAAGAGATCTTAGCCATGGCAAACAATACTGTTCTGGTGTAATTCGTTTTGTATCCAAAAAGGAACACAGTTCTGGATCATGATATTGTAAAACCAATCGTAAAATATGAAATGGGACCCCATTGGTTATACAGCCTTTTGGAATGTATAGTTTAATTATTTTTTCAAATAAATTGTATGTATCAGATCTTGGTAATTTTAAACTTAATAATGGATACAGAATTTCAATCCAACCATTATTTGAAGAATATGAAATTGACTTAGATTTACAATAAAATGTTATAATAGACTCTATGTCTGATATTACTGCTAGTTTCTCTTCATCTTCATTATCCAATCTTTGAACAAACTTCTTAACATCATCCCGTAGTTCATTTTGATTTGGTAAATCAAAAATTTCATCAAAAAGAAGTAATTGGTTAACACCATCTTGACAATTTAGACACACAAGCCAAACATCAGGACGAAGGCTATCCGGTATCTTTTTGCCTTTAGTAATAACATTGATTTCTTGTGGTGAACATCCATCTAACAATGCTGACTCCAATTCAATAAGCCTAAAATAATAACCAATGTTATTTTCAGTAGTATAACTAAATAAGGGGCATCAGGTGTTTTAATATTCTACACAGACATTTTATAGAGATTAACAAATTGGACTTAGATAAGACCATACCATAAACACATTTCATAGTAATACATTGATATTATTGCTAAATGTATCTACATTCGTATTTGGAACATATATTTACCATGTGTTATCATCTTCGTCGCCTGCCATAGTATTTACAATAAGATATCGACTCTCCAATCTTATTCTGTACACCAGAGAAAAAAATTCAGTGTCGCTTGTTATAAGCTGCTACCCATTTCATAAATCTTGTAGCTAATATTCAACCTACGAATTACACTAAGATTCTATAATGACTTTGTTATGCTAATAAAATAATTGGGTTTTTGTATTGGCAAACAAAATTCACAATTATTAGATTTTTTCCAAAATTGTCACTTGTCAACTTACTGTCACTTCCAATTTCATTTCCACACCAGAATAACAGATTGAACATGCTACATGCTACCAATTTTTAAATAAAACCTTTAGTAACGTGACTCTTGGTAACTCAAACACAGTTGAAAAAATAACTATTTATGTACAGGTAATGTTCGAGTACCTTTTTTAAGTGCCTTTTCGAAGAAAACATTCCAGTTATATTTATTATTTATTTCGTAAATCTGTTAAGCACAAATAGTGGTAATTAATAAAAGGACTTGGCTGGCAGCACTGTTCCTGAAATGCAAAGCGAATTATTGATTATATTTTTGACACTTGACAGTACTGAGTTGTGTAAATCTTTGTGTAGTGTATCAAACAGTATCAAGAAAAGTGTACTTTATTATAGTTTAGAGTGAATTGTGCGATACATTTCTTTTTGAAGAAGATGTAATTGATGATAAATAAGTGCAGTGACTGCTACAGAGGAATTTCATAGTTATTAAAAAATTAGGACAGTACAAAAATGAAAGGATTTAATAAACTGTTCCCTAATAAAGAAGCATTTATTATTTTTTCCTTGTACATAATTTTATTCGTTTTCCAAGGTATGTTTTCAAATAGTTACCCTTGTTATAAATAAATGTAACATATCACAACCAAGTTATCAAAAGGAAAACACTTTAGATAAATATTTTTTTTGCATTTTTCAGGCGTTTTTGTGACTGCTTCGAAAACTGAAAATGGTGGATACGATTACAACACAACACTTGTTGTATTTCTTTCAGAATTACTAAAGTTAATAATATCAGCCACATTTTACACATTAAAAAGGGAGTAAGTATTTTTTATTTAAAAGTGTTATTTATGTCTCCTTTTGTGTTTATTATTAGTATTATTGTTTATATACAAAAAATCGTAAATTCTGTAGTTTAAACTGCAAACTTTAACTGGATTTTAATGAAACAGGAGTAGTGGTGATATTATCATAAAGGGTGTGCTTATCTTTCCTGTTGACATATTTTTTCATTTTGGTTGTCAAATTATTATTGATAACTGGATATAATGCTATATGTGTTCTATCACTATACTATAAACATTTATATTGGTAGGAGACAAATTTTTATAACACCCTAATATTTAGATATAGACAAGATTAAATAACATGCAAGATTTTAATTACTAGAAAAAGAAACTGGTAATGCAGAATTCCTTTTTTAAATTTTTGATTTTTTTTATAAATAATGCTACATTTTTTTTGGTAATTAAAAGTTAACCCTGTAAATATTTGTAGTATAATGTGGCAAATGAGCAAACAAGCCAATGAAATTGTCTGAATCTACAATTAATTATTCTTTGTTTCAGAAATAAGCCTCATATATTTAAAGCAATTGTTATCAATTACAACCTTCTTTTGCTTTATTTTATACCATCTTTGTTGTATTGTTTTTACAACAACTTGGCATTTATTAATTTATCTCATTATGACCCGACATCATACTATATTCTTCTGCAATTTAGGGTTGTCCTTACTGCATTACTATTTCAGGTGAGTGAAAAATATGTTACTTATTCAATTTTAGTAGGCGTACAGCCCTAGGTGACGGTCACAATAATCAAATAATAGCATAATACATTTATACAGATTGAATACTTTCTTGCATTAACAGTGCTGGTATTATTTTGGGAATCCCCTTCTCCAGCAGTGGAATACAAAATATAATATTGATTAAACTGGACACATAATGAGACTCAACTGGAAATAAAAATGTAACATGACTTAATTAATAGAAAAAAATATTGGTTGTGTGTGTAAATTAAATCTTAAATATGAAATTCTTGTGTCACAATGTTAATTACCATACACCTCCGAAATGGCTTGACCAATTTTTATGAAAATTTATATGCATATTCAGTAGGTCAAATCTATCTATTTTTAGTCAGCTAGTAGGTTATGATTTTCTCATATATGAATTATAGAAATGTCTATGATATCTTTTTTCAGTTCCTGTTTAACAAGAAATTAACATCTATGCAATGGGTCTCTTTAGTCATATTAACCTTGGGATGTATGATCAAAAATTTCGATGCGGCAACAGTACAATCTGATGACGACAGTGATATATGGCTACAAATTTTTAATATTTACTTTTTATCTATAAATTTCCAAAATTTCTGCTCTTGTTTAGCCGGTACATACAATGAATATTTATTAAAAACCAAAGGTTCTAATGTCGATATATTCTTACAAAATGTATTTATGTATCTCGATTCAGTTATATGTAACTTATTTATTTTAATGTACAAAGGGGAATTAGGCAACATCTTTCGTGATATGGAGTCTTTAAAAGATACAACTGTTGTCTTAATTACTGTGAACAGTGCCATAGTTGGGATAGTAACAAGTTTTTTCTTAAAGAATTTAAACTCCATATTAAAAACATATGCAAGCGCTTTGGAACTTATTATAACAGCTGTTGTATGTTATATTCTGTTTCATATTATTATTACGGGATTCACAATATTATCAATATGTCTGGTCAGTGTTGCCGTGGCAATGTACTTTAAAAATCCTGTTAACAATACTAATATCTCAAATGATAAAGATAAGCAACCCCTTTTAGAAATTGTTGCTGACTGAATATTATATTTTTCTAACAATTGACCTTTCCAGGTAATTCTTTTAGTTGTATTAAAAGTTCATATACAAGGCACCATAGAAAGGTATTTTTTGTTGTTTTTTCTCCCGCGATTTAACAATGTTATAGTATTTTTTTTACTGACGTCATGAAGTTGACACAGTTGCTTAGAGTTACAGAGCTAACTAACCAGATAGGATATTCTGTATTTGACTGTAACATTTGCTAAGATTACAAGGAAAAGTATTTAACCTTTTGTGAAGTATGTTTTTTTTTTATTTGTATCCGTTTTAAAATTGTGCGAGTTAATGATAATAAGATTTGACAATTACATACAGACAGTAAACTTTTCAAACACACTAAAATTATTTTAAGATAATCTTTTTAAATTCATTAATCGCAAATTTTTTGGAAAGGTCAAATTGCTCGACTGATAGGCGAGTGATATTTTTGGTAACTAAGGTAAGGAGGCATCCAGTTCGTATGATAAGGTTAGTTAAGTTTATTGATTTTTGAAACTCATGTATTACGAAAATAACCAAAGCTGTAATAATATGAACATAAAAGACATTGTAGATTTATTACTCTTCATCTCATCATATTAAATAATATTAGGAAACTGCTTAATTAAAAAAAGTTACCAAAATATGTGTCACATTAACTTTAATACATTATGTAACCAGTAATAATATGTAAAGCCATATTGAATAGTATAAAATACAAGTGAAAATGGATGACTGTTAAGATATTTTATTTTTGTTTTCATAAAGGTATTAATTTCTTATTTTGTCTGTTTTTTTTCCATACAGACATTGAAGTCGTTAACGATGTAGATTTAGTTATAATTGATGTTTTGAAATCACAAAAAATAGTTGTTTCGTCAAAATATGATTAACATATTATTCGAATGATCGATGTAATTTTATTATGGCGAATATAGTCGACCCTAACCATGACCCTGTGCGGTTAGACGACCGAATAACAAAGCCTCACGTTATTTTGGGGGCAATGTAGAAATATTAAATAATACAACATAATGTAATTATGAAGGTATTTGTTACTAGGAACAACTACTACTTACTATTTTACACCGTAAAATAACTAAACAAATTCATTGTGGAAATATCCTGTATCATTTCAAAAAAAACGATATTGCTATCTCTCTTTTGTCAAAGATAATGAAAGGGACGGCTGTCTGTATAATCGGGTGATACTAACTAGAAATATGTTTAGTGCATAAGTTGTATTTTGTTAATTTGTTTTATCTCATACTTTATGTACTATAATATATTCAATGTAACAATTTTATGTTTTTTGACACTTATAAATCCCCTAAAAATCGTTTAGATGTTTGTATATCGTAACTTTGTTTATAATTAGTATGATTATAAATTAACTAATCATCGAAGTATTTCTTGTAATCACGTATAATGAAAAGACAAAAGTTTTGTTTTTAATATTCACTATTTATTTAAGGCCACTTTAAAAGATCCATCATCATCTTATTGAAATTCCATTCTATTTAAAAAATGTAATTAATAAAATTGAATGCAATTAAAAAAGTTAATTGTTATCTATTACTTTCCTATTATTAAGGAGAAACTGAAATAAATTATGTCAAACATTGCACAAGGCATATAACAAAGCTAACAGATTCAAGATCAAATACTTATTTCTATATAATCTACATAATCACATTAAATATTTGTTACAACAGGATTTCAGATATTACATAAATCCATTGTTATTTTATATACACACTACCAATTACTTTCTTATGACTTCTGCCTTTAATAGTTTGAAAACAATTAAATTACATCAATTAGCATTACACCAAGCATAAAATAAATATCTTAATATCCAGCTTACATCATTCCAGTCCAGCAATTGAAACCATAACTGAATAACCTATATGGGATCCAATGTGGTTTTATAATTTTCTTACAATCCAGTGGTGGATTCTGCCGCTGTACTGGAATTATGTAAACAGGGCATTTTACATTTTTACTATTCTACTAACAACAGATATTTATATAGGCTTGTAAAGCAATGTCGTAACATATTTCTTCCTATAGCGATGAGTAGCAGATAGCACCATAACACCATCTTTTATAGATAATGCGTAAAGATGGTTTAACATGACATGATTAGGTTCAGGTAACAATGTAGGCTCACACTGGAACAAAAAATATTAAATATGTAAATCTGATGATAATGATCTGATTTTTTTGTTTATACCAACTTTCATCTTAATTTATTTTGCTCAATCGTTATATATTTGATCATTTATATCAGAATAAAAATTATTAACTTATTTTGATAAGAATTCGGAAAGAAATTGGTTTAAAAGTATAATTAAAAATTGCCAAAACATAATAATTGATTCAGTAATAAGCTGAATACATTATAATGTAAAATAATATTAAATTACCGAAAGTGGAGTGTCCTTATTTAAAATAACTTGTAAAAGATGAGGTGGTAATATTGGAGGGCCTGTTACTTTCTCCCACGGCTTAGACTGTGGTATCTCCTGAAAAAAAAAAAATATTGGTCAATTTGAACATTGAACAAACTGTATTTTATTCCAATCCAAAGCCAAAATACACCATAAACAAAATGCATATTTTTTAAGCATTAATTACATTAAAATTACTACTATCATTGCTGAATATTTTTTTTAATCAGAAAAGTGATAGTAAAAATGATACCTGTGAATATTCAGTTTGTGCACCGCTGTGGATTCCCTCGCTATCTTTGGCCAATGCTTGAAATACTTCAAAATCAGACAATTTTACTGTAACCAAATTATTTTTAGAACCCATACCATTATCTATTACTTTCTGTAAAAAGAACAAGATTAAGGATCATTTCTTGCTTGACGGAATACGCTGAAGAATACAATGTAAATCATAATTTCTGATGGTAATAATTACATCAGTAGATTGTTATTAACTTTGTTACAATACATACCGCACCAGGGTCGTGACGCCATTCTCCATCAACAAAATACTTATACTGATGTTCACCCTCAGGTAAATCAATTATAGTGACAAAGTCACCATGAGATTTCACCATAGGAATTGTTTTCCAGTCAGTAAATGTACCACTAATATAAACCTGTAAGTCCAGAATATATACTTAGTATGAATATGAAAAATCTTTATTTTTTATATTATAAGAGTTTGACTAGACAACTCTTTTAAAATAAATCACTAGACCCTGCATAAAATATACCTGCTTTCCACCACCATCCCATTTGAATACTGTAGGTAAAACTTTGATGTCGTCAATGATATTACTACCGTCGGTTAATGTAGTTGGTAAATCCGCTGATTCTTGATATTCCACATTACTTTCAGGAACTGCCTTCGTATAATAAGGAGCTCCGTCTTCAATGTTGTTGTCATCATCGCGGCCGATTGGGTCATCGTCAGTTCGTTTATCAAATGTAAAAGCTTCTCCTTCTTTACTCGGTGATGATGGCGCATCAAGCTGCTTAGATATATTATCCTTATGCCATTCTTTAGGTTGATTACTTCCCGCATTACCCATTTTAATGACAATGAACACTTGACAAGAAAACCTTGTACTGATTCACGAAGAGTATTATGAAACCATCTATAGAATTTTTGTTAATAACCGTTAAATCGAAGTTTTCATCAACAAAATATAAATACGAGACTGTTAAATATCTACATTATTTTATTAAGTTAAAACACTATAACCATGGAAAAATAAGTTTTATTTTGTTTGACAATGACATTGACAAAGCAGTATTATAGACAACGACTATTTTTCCTTTTGATGTTATCATTGAAAGTTTTGGCATGATTACGAGAGCTTTACGTTAAACTCGCACCAAAACGACTTTTGGTTAGACAAAATCAAACTGACTGTACCAGAATTTCAGAGTTTTTAAATCAGCCTTTATTTTTACAAACATTGAAAAAAATTTACTCTTTGATAACATTTTAAATAGCTTTAAATGCTTACAATACCAACATAACAAATCGATCACCATTTCGTCTAGGTTCGGGAGCCTTCGCAATGCAGCGACAAATCGGCATCGCGCCATCGCATTCGCACTCGCGTCAGGAGAAGACGTCTCACTTCTCGCGTCACGTCAGTCGATTGCGAATTGTCGATCGTGTTTAGTGTAATTTTCTCGTTAAAAGAAAGTTGATAAATTTTTATGATGTGATAAGAGTCTATGAGAGTAATGAGTTTCTTTAATTGATTTTAACACCCATAAAAATGAACGACGAAAAACAACCACTGCTGATAGGACCAACCAGTCCCCTAGATAATAACGAGATTCAAACAGTAGAATTAGCGACTGGACCTATCCTTACTCCAAAGGACGAAAAGGTGAAAAATGTGTACCATCCTGCATCAGAAAGGCACCTGGAACATCCCACTTCGAACTTCGATACGATGATTCACCTACTTAAAGGGAATATTGGCACTGGTATCTTAGCAATGCCTGACGCCTTTAAAAATGCGGGATTATATTTTGGTAGGTAAAATTAAATAATATTTCTATTATATAAGAAAGAATGGGCATAGATATCGATGGCATAAATTATAATAATAATTTAGGGACAGTCGCACTACGTCCACATTCGATAATATTGGAGTAAAACCATGTTTTTCTTATAGTTGCGTTTTTTACAAAAATCATGGTACTTATTTAAATTAAATTGCACGTCACCGCTAAATTCCTCTGAAATTGTAAATACCTAAACGTAAGACAAATTCTATTATGTATTACTACTACGTTTATTATATATAATAAATATTATTTTTTAGGTGTTTTTGGTACATTATTTATGGGATTTATTTGCACACATTGCATGCATATATTAGTTCAATGCGCAACGGAGCTTTGTGTAAGAAATCAAAGACCGGCGATGGGTTTTGCAGAAGTAGTTGAAGATGCATTTGCCATGGGCCCAGTAGCACTACGACCGCATTCTCAAAGAATGAAGTAAGTATTTTTGTAAATAATTATTTTATAAATAACGAAAACATTATGTATCATCATTACATATTCATTTTAAAAATGATTCCATTCCAGGCCTATGTGTTATGTACTTATATTTCACCCACTAGACTTATAATACAAAGCCATTCTTGACGGCGAGTTAGGTCAATATACGACTTAATTACGTAGATGGGGTTTAATTCGGAGAAAAATGTTATTTTTCAAATCAGTTTTACGTTCTGAAATAGGAAAAAATATATCACAACTACCGACATAGGGAAAGACTCATAGCTCACTATGAGTATTGAAAAACTCAGTCGCTATAATAACTGGAGAGAACTAATCGAGTATGTGAAATCCAATCAGAAAAAGTACTATTAATAATAGTACTAAAATAGCCGATACAGAACGAATAAGTTTCAAAATGTAGTCATACCACCTCGACGGTCGTTATTCTATGCCCGGACGGTTTTTGTGTAATTACCAGCTCCTGTCAACGACCTTGTAGAGTGATTTATCTATTACATCTCTTTTTAAAACGCATTTGACCACTAGGTTATCAATTACATTTATTTAAATTTTGTCATATTTTCGTTATAACAAAATATAATTAGACAGATATAAATATAATCTAACTAAAACTTAAATATAAGTCCACGTATCTTTGTGCTTTTATCGATGTTTCAAAAGATCCAGCATGCCCAATATGATTTTTTTTACTTTGTTTAATAATTTCTCAACATTAGCAGTTGTAGAATCAGTACCATAAACAAGAGACAATTTCTGCCACTGAGTTTGCGTTTAGACCGTTATTTTTTTTATGAAACAAAATTTCTTTAATGACGTCCATTTTTAAAACACACGACTTAAAGGACCAAATCAAAAACAGATAAAAGATTTTTAGCGCGAACTTATCAACTATACCTTGTTAGCTCTAACCCATAATATATTTTTGAACCTCAATTTATAACAATACGACGAATCATTACAACAAAAGCTAAATTAGTGGAATCGATACAATTCAAATAGTAAAAAAATATAAATCGATATATCGTTACAAAGTTCAACTCACGCTTTTTAATGTTCGAGATAAATAATTTTGTTTGTGGAAGATTTTGTACAACCTAAATAATGAGTGGAAAATATATTGTTTGTGTTTGAACTGTTCATTTATCAATCGTACTGATGTTGACTGAAACAGATTGCGGTGTGAATGTAATTAATTCACAGAGATAAGGAGTGCATTGCTAGTTTTATTTAGTTTGTATTTGTAATTTAGGCAGTTGTCGTAATTAAATGTTAAAATTACGATATACATATGAACTAGACTGTCGTGTAAATAACATACGAGATATGTTTTGTTAATTTATTAGGTAAATTGTTTTCTAATTCTCCATCAAATCTTAACTCCGACATAAGAGTTCTTCATGAATCATTTAGATTTTACTTATGTAACTTCGACCTATTTTGAGATTAATCGACTGTAATCAAATATATATAATTCTTGCTAATATTATAAATGCGAAGATTTGGATGTATGGATGGATAGATGTTTGTTTAAAGTATCTCTAGAATGGCTGCTTGAGCAAAGATGTAGAATATAGTCTATCACATAGACTATCAATTAATTTTTTTATTAATTCCGCGCGGACAGAGCCCGGCGACAACTAGTTATATTTGAGATAGAAAAGTTTAGCACAAATTTACTTAACGTAAATATACATTTGCTTGTAGGTTAACGAGTAGGAAGAATATTATTGTTCACTTTATTACATTTGTAACATGTATTTGTCTCAATAACAATTTATAAAGAACTAGCTGTCGCCCCCTACTACGCCCGCGCGTAATTAAAAAAAAAGGTTTCCTAAAGCGTTTTACCGGCAACTATTCGAATTTTTCTCATCTTTTAAACCTTCCCTAGACCTCCACGAACATTTCAAGACCAAGATAAGATAAATCCTTTCATCCGTTCTCGAGTTTTAGCGAGACTAACGAACAGCAATTGATTTTTATATATATAGAATATAAATTCAATACGATTATTTAATAAAACTTTCCGTTCAATTGATACATAGCAAATTATGCAATAATAATTCACTGATAGCGGTAACTTATCACGACAATAAACGATGTAATTTCTGTCTCCATTAATCACATCCTTACTGCTGCAAATGAAATGAAAATGACATATTTATCTATATATAATATGTTTGTTTCAGGAATATAGTAAATATATTTTTGGTAATAACACAATTGGGATTTTGTTGTGTTTATTTTTTGTTTGTTGCGACTAATCTTCAGGATACGTTGGAAATATTTCACATCAATCTGAGCGTACATACGTATCTAGTATTGCTATTTCCATGTTTCTTGGCCTTGGCAATGGTGAAGAATTTAAAGTATCTAACTCCAGTGTCATTGGTCGCTTCTATAATGACAGCTTGGGGGTTGATGGTAACATTCTACTATATATTGCAAAATTTACCCCACACCAGTACTGTGAAAGCGTTTGCGAGTTGGCATCAGTTACCTTTGTACTTTGGGACCGCTATCTTTGCGTTTGAGGGCATTGGAATGGTGAGTTGATTGTACATTAATTGTGAATTTCAATAACAAAACTTGTATAAGAATATATTGTATTGATTCCTACTCTCTCTAAAAAGGAGATGCTATATTTTTTTGTATAGATTTTTTGGCTGTGGTATCCTAAGATTAGGATATAACTTCGTTTAAGTTTAATAGCCGATGCAATTTGTATTTATGTAACATAGATTATATAGATCATTTTAAGGTACATATTTTATTAAATATTAACTCGGAGTTCACCATCGTAAACCAAAATGACTAAAAATTTGGAATTTACTACAAAACTTGAATAACTTGTTATATAAAATTTGACTAATAAACTCGTTGATGTCGATTTTGAAAAAATCTATTCGTTTCAAATTTCGTAAATTTTGAATAGCGGCACAAAAATACGTCGCGTGTTTTATTGCTTTGATGTACGATTAGTCCTTGAATTTACTATTTTCATATTCATAACCATGGGGTTTTAGAGACCAAAATCTCCTTCAAAACATATCGTTATCTCTGTTTCGCCAAATGATATGTTTTATACAGAGATTTTTATCTCAGAAACCAACGGTAACCGCAGTAATATTTTCTTTTTTAATTGTAATATTAAATTTGTATTTTTATTTATTAAGATTGTTTTTAGGTATTGCCTTTAGAGAATAATATGAAGACACCAGAAGCATTTGGAGGATGGAACGGCGTGCTTAACACGGGCATGGTGATAGTTGCCGTGTTATATGCTTCTATTGGGTTCTTTGGATACTTGAAATACGGCAGTCACGTGCATGGCAGTATCACTCTGAACCTACCGGATGATTTGTAAGTATACATTTTTCTAAATGTTTCTAGAAGCTAATTTTATATTTATGCCAGTATGTCTAGGTAATTGGCATCATATTAACCGGATATATCATCCGGTCATGAATTAATACTATCCGTTTGAATTATTACGTTCAATATGACAATAAAAGCTAAGGGAATTGTAAATATATTGATTTTTATTTAGGAAAAATTATTAAAGCTAATTTTCAGGTACAATTTGCGCTTGTATTGTTGCGGAATAAATTAAAAAAGGAACTGGACCAAGACCTTTACGTTAAAGTTTGCCAAATTATTATAAAAAGAAATTTTGAATTTGAAAAAAAAAATGCCCTTAGAATTCCTCAGTAAAATTTTACTCTGAATTTACCTACATTAAGACTGTA